CATCTCTCCAGCCCTGAATTTTTGTGTATTTCATACACAGAATCTTAATTGACTTTATACCCCCTTCCCCATTGGCACCCTCCTATAGACCACCCCCCACTAGAATTCATACATTCTGTCATTTGTGTTAAGGATTATCCTGTCAAATTAGTGTCTCCAGATGTCCCTCAGTGCAGGTTCATCAACTGAGGTCTGGTCAGCCTATCTAGAGTCCTAGTTCTTCCTAACCCAACAGTTATCAGCTGCCAATAATTCTTCAACTAAGATTGGGGCCTGCTGTCCATTTCCACAGTTCTGTGCAGGGTTTTTGTCTGCTGGAGTTTGCATGGGTCTTGTGCATGCTGACACCATTGTTGTAGGTTCATATGAGAAGGGTCCCAGGAGCCTGTAGGACTCTTTTTATTTCCATATGGTCATGCACCTCCTCCCTGGGTCTTATAATCTTTCCACACCCTCTTTCACAATGAATGGTTCCTGAGCCCTGGGTGGGTGTGTTTTAATATAGGAGTCCTCAATTGTGAGTTTTAAAAAATTCATTTTATATTTTACATTACTTTTTAGGATAGGAGTTAGGCCTTGAAATGGGGCAGGGGTTAATCTATTGATTGAAAGGTCTTTCTCTGACAAGTCAAACACATTGAAAAACAGCTCATCCAAATAGGGGTGGAGAAAGGCCCAGCTAAGATCCTTTAGTATAGTTTTTAGCACACTCATAATATTTTTTTCTGTGTTTGGGGAGTAGACAGAAATACTCTCCTTCCACTGTTAATGTCCCCCACCAGGAGTCCTGGTTAGGCCCTGGGTCACCAACAAGCACCGGTTGCTGAACATCACCAAGGTTCCAGCAGCTACTTTGTTAAGACATATTTTCAAGTATTGGAAACTGTAAGTTAATTTAGGCGATAGATGATGTTTAGAACTTTGGAAACAGTGTGCTGTTTTCTTTCTGTCTTTTCCTTGTGCTTGGCCTCTCACAGGTCAGACAACACTCTGTCCCTGTTTATCATTGTTCTGCCTCGTGCTACATTCTCAGACTGCTAACATTTTAATACATTTATTTGTTTACTTGGATAGGGGTGCACAGGTTCCATGGTGCACATGTGGAGGTCAGAGGATAACCCACAAGAGTTGGTTCTCTCCACCATGTGGGTTCTGGGGATTGAACTCAAGTTATCAGGCTTTGGTGGCAAGCACCTTTTACCTACTGAGCCATATCACCAGCCTGTTCAAAAAACTTATTTTAGGTTAGGTCATAAAGAAATTGGTTTCACCACAGCTTCCTCGTTCTCATTCATTTCTCTCTTTCCCTCCCTTCCTTCCTCCCTTCCTTCCTTCCTTCCTTCCTTCCTTCCTTCCTTCCTTCCTTCCCTTTTTGCTTTTATTTCCTTCCTTCCTTCCCTCCCTCCCTCCCTTTCTTCCTTCCCTCTTTCCTCTCCTTCTCTTCCTTCCATCTTTTTGAGACAGGATCTCCCTGTAGCCCCAGCTGACATGTCACTCATTATGTAGACAAGGCTGGCCTTGAACTCACAGAGATCCTGCTTGCCTCTGATGTTGGGACAAGAGGCATGTGCCACCACACTAGCCAAGATCTTGCTGTCTGGCCTAGGCTGTCCTCTATCTCGTGACCCTCCAGCCTTAAACTTCTAAGAGGTTGTTAGTTTTGAGATAGGGCTTTACTCTCTAGCTCTGGCTACCCTGAACTTCTATCCATTTTGCTTAGCCTGAGATTGCAGGCATGAGCAGTGGTCTGGCTGACTAATTAATACGTTTTGATTCTTGTTGGCATTTCCCCCCCGCCTTTTTTTTTTTTTGGTGTTTTTGAGACAGGGTCTTCCAGTAGCCCCATCTGGCCTTAGAACTCTCTATGTAGACCAGGCTGGCCTCGAATTCACAGAGATCCACCTGTCTCTGCCTCCTAAGTGCTGGGATTAAAGGCGTGCACAACCACGCCCAGCTGGCATTTTTCCCTTTAAAAAAAATTTTTTTTTTTTGATAGGGTCTTACTATGTGGCCCCAGCTGGCCTGGAACTCACTATCTAGATCAGGCTGGTCTTCAGGAACTCAGAGATCCACCAGCCTCTGGCTTGCAAATGCTGGAATTAAAGGCATATAGCACCTGACTGCACACACCAATGTTGAGGTCAGAGAAAAAATGCAGAGGACAGTTCTCTCAGTCTACCATGGGATCCTTGTATCAAACTCAGATAATCAAGTTTGTCAGGTTGCCAGGTTTGTGTGGAAAATGCTTTTACCTGATGAGCCATCTTGCCAGCCCTGAATTTTTCTTAATTGATCATTCTTCCAGTTTTGAAAGGTACATACACAGTTAGTGTATGAACTGCCAAGGTGGTAGAGGTGAGGTAGGAAATTGCTGAAAAAAATTTCTTATATACTTACTTTTATGTGTATGAGTGTTTTGCCTGCATGTATGTAAGTGCACCTGTGGGTACAATGCCCTCAGAGGCCAGAACAGAGCGTTGCAGACCTGGGACTGGAGTTATGGCAGTTGCTAGCCACCATGTGGATGCTGGGAACCAAACTCAGGTCGTTGTCTTTTTTTTTTTTTTTTTTTTTTTTTTTTTTTTGGTCTTTTTGAGACAGGCTCTCCCTGTAGCTCCAGCTGTACTGGAACTCACTGTGTAGACCAGGCTGGCCTTGAACTCACAGAGATCTGCCTGCCTCTGCCTCCCAAGTGCTGGGATTAAAGGCATGTGCCACCACGCCCCACTCCAAACTCAGGTCATCTACAGAAGCAGCTAGTACTCAACCACTGAGCCATTGCTCTAGTCCTCTTTCCTCCCATCTATTAATATTATTATTTTATGTGTTTTAATGTTTTACCTGCATGGATGTAAGTGTAACACATGGGTGCAAACCGGTGGAGGCCAAAAGAGAATGTCAGATCCACTGAAACTGGAGTTACGGATGGTTGTTAGCTGCCATGTGGGTGCTGGGAACTGAACCTGGCTCCTCTCTAAGAGCACCCAGTGCTCTTAACTGCTGAGTCATCTCTCCAGCCCTCCCTCACATCTATTTGTTAAAAAAATTCTATGTGGCTGGAGAGATGGCTCATCGGTCAAGGGCATTGACTGCTCTTGCAGAGGACCCAAGTTCAATTCCCAGCACCCACATGCTGGCTATGAACTGTCCTTAACTCCAGTTCCACGGGAATCTGAAGCCCTCTTCTGACCTCCATGGCATTGCATGACACGGGTGCACTCACATACATGTAGGCAATACACTTATACACATAAAATAAAAAAATAAGCTGGGCGTGGTGGCGCACACCTTTAATTCCAGCATTCAGGAGGCAGAGGCAGGCAGATCTCTTGTGAGTTCAAGGCCAGCCTGGTCGTCAATACATGGCCTTTGGGTGACGGCCATGTAAAATCTAGGCCCCCCCATCATACCAAAAAAGAAAAAAAAAAAAAAAAAACAATTAAAAGAAAAAATAAAATTTTATGTGTATGAATGTTTTTGCCTGCATGTATATAAGTGCACCAGGTGTATACATTATCCACAGGGGCCCGAAGAGGGTATCTGATCCCCTGGAACTAGAGTTAGGGACTATTCTGAGCTGCAACATGGGTGCTGGAAATTGAGCCCAATTTCTCCTCTTCAAGAGCAGCCAGTGCTCTTAACTGCTAAGCCATCTTTCCAGACCCCAAAGGTGGGAGATTTCTGCTCCTTGATTTCCTCTTCCTCATATAGAAAACATTTTAGATCTTTTTCAAAGTCTCAAAGAATATTTTCTTCCTTTTTCATATTTTCATCAGTGCTGTGGAGATGCTGGGTATGTGTGAGATGGGGTGGCATAATGAATGGTCTGGGTAAATATTTGTGTAACAAGGTGAATAAATGTATTTAAAAACTACAACTAGCCAGGTGCAATGGCATATACCTGTAATCCCAGCATTTGGAAGGTGGAGGCAGGAAAATCAGAAGGTCACTGTCAGCCTTGACCACATTGCTAGCATGGGCTGCATGAGGTCCTGTTTCAGAAATAAAAAAGTCCTTTGGCTGGTGAGATGGCTCAGCAGGTAAAGATGCTTGTTTCCAAGCACCTATTGAATCTGAGTTTAGTCCCTGGGAACTACATGATGGAAGGAAAGAACTAACTCCTTAAAGTTGTCTTCTGACCTCCATATGGGTACCATGGCAACCCCCCTCATAAATGAATAAATTTGGGGGTCACTGGAATATTCTGGGAGTGTGCAGAAAGGTGTTTAAGTCTTGGCTCCAGAGAGGACTGTGTGTCCTGGGTGCTGGGGGCAGTCTTGGGAGTTCTGTGCACAGAGTTCTGTGTTGGGATGAACTAGGTTTAAGAGTAGGTATAGGCATCTGTGCTCCAGGGTGTGCTAAAATCTGTCTGTGACCACTGAGCTTTGCAAAGCATGCTTGAAGTTCCAACATTTCATTCAGTTAAATATTTTATTTATTTTTTATGTGTAGGTATATGAGTGTTTTGCCTGTGTGTATGTAAGTGTGCAATGCCCACAGAGGCCAGAAAAGGATGCCTGATCCCTTTGAACTGGAGTTAAGACCACAAGAGTGCTGGGAACTGAACCTGGGTCCTCTGCAAGAGCAGAAAGTGTTATTACTGAGCCGTTTCTCTAGCTCCCAAACTGCTATTTCTTAGCTCACATCCTCATAGTTTTCTTAGTATTCTTTGTAGGATTCAGAGTTAGTTTTTCCTCTTATGTATGATGACTTGGATCACTGACTATCCCTTGTGCATGTGTCAGTCAGATCTTTGGGTTAGAGGCATTATGAGAGAACAGGTCCCAGAACTCAAGTGCCAGTCCTGTTTTCAGTGGCGAAGAAAAACTATGGGCTTGGTCTTTGAGCTCTGCCTGTCAAGTTAAGATGGCTCTGTCTTAGCCACTAGCATGGAGGAGCTGGAGAGCTTTCACACCATGTGGAAGAGAAGTCACAGACAGTGAATGCTCAGTGTTTCTGCGTTTCTGACAGTTTACTGATACGTTTCTTACCTATTGTAGCTTCAAGTGGGATGTCATGGCCAGCTCTTCGGACAGTGAAGATGACAGTTTCATGGCTGTGGACCAAGAGGAAACTGTGCTGGAAGGGACAATGGAGCAAGATGAGGACCCTCACCCAGTACTGGAGGTCGAGGAGACTAGACATAATAGGTCCATGTCTGAGCTGCCGGAAGAGGTTTTGGAGTATATCCTGTCCTTTCTCTCACCGTATCAGGAGCACAAAACTGCAGCTCTGGTCTGTAAACAGTGGTACCGGCTTATCAAAGGTACTTTGGATAAAGGCTGTTTCAGTTTTTATTGAGTGATTGACTTTTTTTTTTTTTTTTTTTCCCCCAATGTGTATGAGTGTTAGATGTAAGTGCACCCATGTCATGCAGTGCCTGCGGATGACAGAAGAGGGCGTCTGATCCACTGGAACTCGAGTTATAGATGGTTGTTAGCTCCCATGTGTGTGCTGGGATTTGAACCTGGGTCTTCTGCAAGAACAGCCAGTGCTCTTAACTGCTGAGAACCTTCTCTCCAACCCCTCGAGTGATTGATTTTACACTCCCAATTTCTTTTTTCTTTTCTCTTAAAGGTTATGGTTCTAAAATTCACTATTAGATAAGTTAACATAGTTCCCTTTTTCCTTTTTTTTTAATTTTTTTTACTTTTTTGATTTTTTTTTTGTGTGTGTGTGTATGAGTGTATTGCCTGCATGTATGTGAGTGCACCTGTGTCGTGCAATGCCACAGAGGTCAGAAGAGGGCTTCAAATTCCCCTGGAATTGGAGTTAAGGATGGTTTGTGGTTGCCATGTGGGTGCTGGAAATCGAACCCGGGTCCTCAGCAAGAGCAGCCAGTGCTCTTAACTGCTGAGCCATCTCTCCAGTCCCCCTTTTTCTTTTTATATTGGTTAATTTTATGAGCTAGAATATTAATATACAATTTTATGTTAGTAGTATTTAATTCAATTTGTGATTTTAAAATGTGGTTTTTGTTTTTTGATATTGTTGTTTATGGGGTGGTTTTTTGTGTGTGTATGTGTGTGTGTGTGTGTGTGTGTGTCTCTGTGTCTGTGTCTGTGTGTTTTAATTCTTCTGCCTTGCCAGTTGGGAAGCAGAGGCAGAGGCAGAGGTAGGTGGATCTTCATGAGTTCAAGGACCATCTTGGTCTACATAGCAAGTTCCAGGCCAGTCAATGGTACACAGTGAGATCCTGTCTCAAAATGAAATGAAATAAATTTTCCTGCCTCTGTCTCCTGAATGTTGGGGTTACGGTTATGCCACCAGAGTTGGCTTATCTTTTACTTTTTTTTTTTTGAGGCATGGTCTTGTTGCATAGCCCAGGATAGTCTGGTATTCAAGCTCTTTCCACCTCTGTCCCATCTCCTGGATTCTAGGATTATGGGTCTGCTACCATAGCTCTTCTACTTTTTATGAGTTTCTTTTTTCTTTCTATTCTCTCCCTATTCTCCCCATTCATTTCCTATGAAGGTTTTAATTTCTAGTGAAATATTGAGATTGCTAACCAGGTTGTATTTTTAGTTAACAAATTATCAGGTATTTGTTTTCATTCCATCTTCAAAAGGGGCGTTTTTCTGTCTGAAGATGATCAGGCCAGTGAAAAATCCTTGATCAGAGCATGGATTCCGTCTCTGCTGCTTTCCTAGTGGGACAAGCAGGTAGAGATATGACAAGGACAAACCTTTAGATGAGGTTTGAAGTGTTTTTCTTGTAGGAAGGTGGTTTTCCTGTGGCATGAGGTCCTTGTCAGTGTCCAAAGTATAGCTGGAGGCTGAGGGCCAAGTATGGGGAAATTCCTGGTGGCCCTGTGCTCATTTGGTCAAAATTGGTAACACTGCTGTGCATAGCCCATTTAGTCCTCAGAGTCACTGGACTCCAGGAGAGACTGGCTTCTTGCATTGAGGAGTAATTACAGGTGAAGCCACAGTGATTTCATTCTATGATTCAATACATTTAGGTTTTATAATCTTATAGTTTTCATTTTTTTATCTTTAGTTTTTTGAGATAGGATCTTACTATATAACCCATCTGACTTCAAACTGGAGCTCCTCTTGCCAACACCTCCCAAGTCCTGAGCTTAGACCTGTGCCACCATACCTGGCTTTATTTACAGTCTTTTTATTCATCCCCCCACCCCCCAGTTTCTCTTTCTCTTTTCCTTTCTCTCTGTCTTTGTTTTAAATAGGGTCTTATTCTGTAGCCCAGACTGGCCTGAAGCTCACTATGTAGCCCAACAAAACTCACAGCGATCCTCCTGCCTTCAGACCCTGAGTGCTGGAATTAACAAGGGTGAGCTACTATGCCCATCTTAGTTTTATTTTACTTACTGTTTTTGTGGTGTGTGTGTGGTTTGTATTTGTTAGTGTACGTGTGGGCACATGTTTGTGTAGACCAGAGAGTGACTTCAAGTGTCTTTCCTCAATTGCTTTTATTTTTTTTTACTTATTTATTTGGTCTTTTTTTTGAGACAGGGTCTCCCTGTAGCCCCAGCTGTCCTGGAACTCACTCTGTAGACCAGGCTGGCCTTGAACTCACAGAGATCCGCCTGCCTCTGCCTCCCAAGTGCTGGAATTAAAGGCGTGCGCCACCACACCTGGCTTTACTTAATTTTTTATGAAGCAGAATTGGGGTTTAATAAAGGTATTTTAATATAGGCTGAAACATGAAGGTTGAAAGAAAGATAGAAAGGAGGATAATGAGCTTCTCTCTAAGCAAAAAGACAAGAAGACATAAATATGGGTACAGGCTCCTCAAGGGAGTCTCAGCCCCACCATTAGTTTTTTGAGACAGGGTCTCTCAGTGAGCTTGAAATTCATGGATTGGGGTAGGCTGCCTGGCTTTAAGGATCCACATGTCTTCAGTCCCCCAGCATTTTGTGTGTGTGTGTGTGTGTTGCGGGGAGCAGTATATGTGAGGGCAGGCACACATGTTCCATGCTTATGTGTGTAGGTCAGGGAGCAACTTTTGGGAGGTTTTTTTTTTTTTCTTACATTGTGAGATGTAGGGATCAGACTGAGGTGCAGGGTAACGGCTTTACCTGCTGAGCCATCTCTGTCACCCACAGATGGCTTTTTACATGGATTCTGGGATTCACACGGAAGCCTTCATGCTTATACAGCAGCAGTTTACCAGTTGAGTCATCTCCCCAGCCCTTAGGTTTTTATTTTCTATTTTTATTATTTTTTTAATTTTCAAAATTACTACTATTATTATTATTATCATTATTATATTTTTGAGACAAGGTCTCCCTGTAGCCACAGCTGCCTGGAACTCAATAAGTAACTTAGGCTAACCTTGATCTCATAGAGACCTGCCTGCCTCTGCTTCCTGAGTGCTGGGATTAAAGGCATGCATCACCACGTCTGATGGTTTTATTTTTTTTTTTTAAATATTTTGTTATTTTTATTTTATGTGTATGAGTGTATTGCCTGCATGTGTATGAGTATACCTGTGTCATGCAATGCTGCGAAGGTCACAAGAGGGCTGCAGATTCCCCTGGAACTGGAGTTAAGGACGATTTATAGCTGCCATGTGGGTGCTAGGAATCGAACCCAGGTCCTCTGCAAGAGCAGCCAGTGCTCTTAACCGCTGAGCCATCTCTCCAGCCCCTGATCCACACCCTTAACTGCCTCACAGCTGGCAGCATCAGAGTAGCCACACATGCTTGTGCCTATAATCCCAGCACTTCGCAGGTGGAGGCATTTTGGGGGTGAGAGGCAGGAGGATCTGGAGTTCAGCATCATTCTTGGCTATGATGGTTTAGTTTTGTTTTCGTTTTCTGTGTATATGACTGCATGGATGTGTGTAATGTTCAAGGATGTGTAGATGCACATGTGTATGCAGGGACATGTGAAGGCCAGGATTCAACCTGAACTGTCGTCATTCCTCAGGTATCGGCTTATTTTGTGAGACAGGATTTCTCCCTGGGACTTGGGACTTACCAACTTGGCTAGACTGGCTGGGCCCCTGGGATCTGCCTGTCTCCACCTACCCAGTTTTGGGATTACAGACTCATGCCACCCTACCAGCCTTTATATGTGGGTTCAAGTGCTCAAACACAGGTCCTCATTCTTATATAGTAAGCATTTAAAGACTGAGCTCAAAGGAGCCAGTCCCTCACCCCTTTTTTGGGGACAAGGTCTTAATCTGTAGCCCAGACCTGCTCTGAACTAGCCATGTAGCCAAAGATGACCTTGAACTCCTTCCTTCTACCTTTGCCTACCGAATATTAACATTACAGACACGCACCATCATTCTTAGCTTATTTGATGCTGGGTATTGAACCCTTGGTTTTATATATGCTAGGCAAGCATTCTACCAACTGCTGTATCTCCAACCCAGTAGACTTTTTAAAAGAGCAGTTGTAGGCTTAATAGCAAAATTTAATTGAAGATGCAGAGATTTCCCACCTGCCTCCTGCCTCCACATATGCATAGCCTCCTCCATTACCAGCACTCCTCCCAGGAGTGTACATGAGGTAAGTGGTGAACCTCATTGTACATTAGGCCCTAGGTACACAGTAGGACTTCTTTTGGTATTTAGACAAATTGCACCCAGGCATATATCACACAGAGAAGCCCCAGTGCTCTAGAAACCTACTCACCTTTCTTCCAACCCCTGAAAATCTCTGCTCAGTGTTGCATAGATTTAGCTTATCCCAGAGTGTTACATATATTTGGTGTCAATACAGTCTGTGGCATTTTCAGATTGACTTCTTTTACTTAGTAATAAGCATTGACATTTCCTCCTTTTTTTTTGAGGCAGGGTCTCCCTGTATCCCCAACTGCCCAACTGGCCTGAAACTCACTATGTAGACCAGGCTGGCCTCAAACTCACAGAGATCCGCCTGCCTCTGCCTCCTGAGTGCTGAGATTAAAGGTGTGTTTTTAGTATCAAATTCCACTTGTTCATTGATAGTATATAAGAAAGTTATTGGGGCTAGCAAGGTGACTCAGCAGATAAAGGTGCTTTTGCCAAGCTTGACGACATGAATTCAATCCCTAGGACCAATACGGTAGAAGGAGAGAACCAGCTTCCACTGGTACCACATGTATACTACATTTTTAAAATTTACTATTATTATTATTTTTTAAAATTTTACTCATTTTTATTTTATGTGTATGCATGTATTGCCTGCATGTAGGTAAGTGCACCGTGTTGGTCAGAAGAGGCTGTTGGATCCCCTGGGACTAGAGTTATGGACAGTTGTTAGCTGCCATGTGAGTGCTGGGATTCTGTAAGAACAACCGGTGTTCTTAACCGCTGAGCCATCTGTCCAGCCCCTATTTTTATTATTTTTATTTTATGTGTATGAGTGTATTGCCTGCATCTATGTAAGTGTACCCATGTCGTGCAGTGCTCATGGAGGTCAGAGGAAGGCATCAGACTCCAGTTCAGACGATTGTTAGTCACTATATGGGTGCTGGAATTGAACTTAGGTCTTCTGCAAGAGTAAGCAATACTCCTTTATTATTTATTTATTTTATTTTTTATTTTTTATTTTTATTTTTTTGGTCTTTTTGAGATATGGTCTTGTAGCCCTAGCTGTCCTGGAACTCACTATGTAGATCAGGCTGGCCTTGAACTCACAGAGATCGGCCTGCCTCTGCTCCCGAGTGCTGGGATTAAAGGCATGCGCCACCATGTCCAGCTTGATACTCCTTTTTTAAAAAAATATTTATTATTTTTATTTTATGTATATGCGTGTATTGTCTGCATGTAGGTAAGTGCACCCGTGTCATGCAATGCCTGCGGAGGACAGAAGAGGCTATCGGATCCCCTAGAACTGGAGTTATGGAGAGTTGTTAGCTGTCATGTGGGTGCTAGGATTCAAACCCAGGTCTTCTGGAAGAACAGCCAGTGTTCTTAACCGCTGAGCCATCTCGCCAGCCCCCCTCTCCCCCCGAAAAAAGAAAAGCTGGGGACGTGGTGGTGCACGCTTTAGTCCCAGCACTCAAGAGGCAGAGTCACATGGGTCTCTGGAAGTTCGAGGCCATCATCGTCTATAATAACGAGTTCCAGGCCAACTGGCCTGCAGGGAGACTGTCTTAAAAAGACAAAAAAAAAAAGTGATTTGTGTGTGTGTGTGTGTATTACCTTTATGTCCTACTACCCACCATAAAGACATATTAATAGCAGGACCAAGACAGGGATTTTTTGTTGTTGTTGTTCAACAGAACAAATATCCATCTTTCATTCATTAATGCTTTACCACATCAACATTTGCAAGCCTGTAGTACTTATTTCACTGGGAACAGCTGGCAGAGTTGTTCCTCACTAAAAATGCCCAGACTGTTCCAGAATATTCTACTGTAAATTCAGTGAAATGGAATTTATCATAGTGTGGTGTTAGTAATCACTGGAAAAGAAGGGTAAGTATGTATGTGATCCACTTAGGGACCCACTAAGGTGGTGTAATTTTAAGAATGTTACAGTCTTTCAAATATAACCTAATCAGTCAGATATAATGACTCATGTCTGTCTGAGGAGGTTGAGACAGGAGGATTATCTTGAGTTGGAGCCACCCTGTGCTATAGTGTGATACTTTGTGTCAAAAACCAAACAAACTGGGCCTGGAGTGATGGCTCAGTGGTTAAGGTTCCCAGAACCCATATGGCTTCTAAGAACCATCTGTAACTCCAGTTCTAGGGGATCCAGTGCTGCTTCTGGTCACAACAGGCACTACATGTATGTGGTAGACTTACATGAATGGGGCTAGAGAGATGATAGTTCAGTGGTTAAGAGTATTGGCTGTTCTTCAGAAGACCTGGCACCCACATGGCGACTAACAACTGTCTGTAACTCCAGTTCCAGAGAATCCTCTTCTGTTCTCCGAAGGCACTGCATGACACAGGTGTCCTTACACACATGCAGGCATAACACTCATACACATAAAAATAAATAAAAAAATATTTTTTTTTTGTCTTTCTGAGACAGGGTCTCCCTGTAGTCCCAGCTGACCTGAACTCACTATGTAGACCAGGCTGGCCCTGAACTCACAGGAATCCACCTGCCTCTGCCTCCCCAGTGCTGAGACTAAAGGCGTGTGCCACCACGCCTGGCTAATAAAAATTTTTTTAAATATTGAAAAATAATAAATGTGGGCTGGAGAGATGGCTCAGCGGTTAAAAACACTGGTTGTTCTTGCAGAAGACCTGGGTTCAAATCCCAGCACCCACATGGCAGCTAACAACTCTCTGTAATTCTGGTTCCAGGGGATCCAACAGCCTCTTCTGTCCTCCAAGGGCATTGCACGACACGGGTGCACTTACCTACATGCAGGCAATACACGCATACACATAAAATAAAAATAATTAATAAAATATTAAAAATGTATGCAGGCAAGCACTTAAGACATAAAACACTTTGTGTGTGTGTGGGGGGGTGTGATCTTTTTGAGACAGGGTCTCCCTATAGCTCCAGCTGGCCTGGCACTTGCTATATAGACCAGGCTGGCCTTGATCTCATAGAGATCCACTTGCCTCTGCCTCCGGAGTGCTGGGACTAAAGGCTTGTGCCACCACACCCGCATCGACATAAAATGTTTTTAAAAGCAGAGGTAGCCAGATCTCTGAAATCAAGGCCAGCCTGGTCTATATAGTGAGTTCCAAGCCAGCTGGGGCTACAGGGAGACCTTGTTTCAAAAACAACAAAGGGTCTGGAGAGACGGCTCAGTGGTTAAGAGCACTGGCTGCTCTTGCAGAGGACCTGGGTCCGATTCCCAGCACCCACACAGCCATCTATAACTCCAGTTCCAGGGGAATCTGACACCCTCTTCTGACCTTTACGGGCATTGCATGACACAGGTGAACTTAATTTACTTATGTACATGCAGGCAGTATACTCATACACATAAAATTAAAAACAATAAAAAAAGCAAACAAAAAGTGTAACTTACTTGATTGTATTTGGTTAAAATATATCTTCAGTGAAAGTCATTGGAATGAAAAATAGATTGTTCTAGAAACATGAAGCTTTTACTTTTTAAAATGCGCTATATATATGCATACATACATACATATGTTGAGCCAAGTGTGGTAGTACATGCCTTTAATCCCATTACTCAGGAGGCAGAAGCTGATGGATCTCTGTGAGTTCAAGGTCAGCCTGGTCTACATAGTTCTAGGCTAGCCAGTGCTACATAGTGAGTCCCTGTCTCAAAAACAGACAACAACAAAAATGTTTTTTCTGTCTGTAGCTGTATTTAGGCATCTTGACACAAATTTTCACTGGCTGAACTTGAACTCATGATCCTAATTTCAGTTTTCTGAGTGCTGGGATTACAGGCCTGAGCCACCAGACCTGATGAAATGTGCTATTTTTAGAGAAATTTTAGGTTCACGACAGTGTTGCAAAATTTGCCATACACCTACATCTGACAGGCAAATAGCTCCACCCCTTCAACATTGCCCACTACAGTAATACATTGTTGCAATTGATGAACCTGCAGACAGTCACTATCCTCAAGAGACTATCACTTATATTCTGTTCATTCTTGGTGGCGTTCATTTTGTGGATTCAGAAAAGTGTGTAATGATATGTATCTGCCATCATACTAAAGATCTCAGCTTTTTAGGACATGCTCCTCAGACATGAACTCATCATTTTATAATCTATTATGTAATAGTCTGGTGATGTCCCTTCTTATGCTGGGGGATGCTTGATTGCCACACTCTAACTGTAGGTGCTTATTAAATACCCGTAGGTGCTGTTTTACCCTCTGCTTCACAAAGATGAATTACCCCTAGCCCCTTTGCTTGGTAGTACCTGGTACCAATTGTCTTGTATTGCCCGTGACATAACGGGAAGGGATGAGAGTCATCCTGGGAGCTAATTCTGTAACCTTGAGCTTGTCTCTCAATCTTCCTGTACCTTAGTCAAATGAAAGGACTAGTTCTTCCAATTTTGAAATTCTGTGATTCTCTTTCCTTTCTTTGAATGAAAATGAGAGAAATTTAGACTTCCTCAAAAAAAAAAAAATCTATGACTTATACAAGTGATAAAATAAAGTTTTAATGATTTTGTCCACAAGTTAGGTGTCCAGGCTGAGGTCTTTGTTCTTTTTGTCTTCAGGTGTAGCTCACCAGTGTTACCATGGTTTCATGAAGGCTGTCCAGGAAGGAAACATTCAGTGGGAAAGCCGGACTTACCCTTATCCGGGAACCCCCATCACTCAGCGGTTCTCCCACAGTAAGTACCCACTGGGAAAGCAGATCCCGTGCTGCCCATGTGTGTGTTTCCAGACGGTGTTTTAGATGCCTGTATTTTGTCTGGTGTCTAGCTTTTTAATACAGAATTTAAGTTTCTAATCAGAATTAGGAAAAAGTGAGCCTAACTATGTAAGGGCTGAGGGTGTAGCTCAGAGGTAGAGTGCTTGCCTAGGCAAGGTTCAGTTCCTGGCATCTCAACAAAGCAATTGCCGTTGTTTTTGGATTTTTCTCTATTCCAAAGGGGTTTAGTGTTATACTTAGAATTTCTAGCATTTGGCATCCTTTAAGTGGAAAACAAAGGAAAGGTGGCCTGCATGAGAGGATATCTGCAATACCGCTTAGAGAGTAGCCAGTGTTTAGCTCTAAATTTTTTTTTTTGTCTTTTTGAGACAAGGTCTTCTTGTAGCCCCAGCTAGCCTGGAACTATGTAGACCAGGATGGCCTTAAACTCAACAAAGATCTGCCTCCCAAGCATGCGCCACCATACCCAGCTAGCTCTAAACCTTAGGATAACTTTTTTTTTTTTTTGAGACAGGGTCTCCCTGTAGCCCCAGCTGGCCTAGAACTCGCTATGTAGACCAGGCTGGCCTGGCCTCGAACTCAGAACTCAAAAAGATCCACCTGCTTCTGCCTCCCGAGTGCTGGGATCAAAGATGTGTGCCAGCATGCCCGGCCATTTTAAGATAACTATTTTAAAATGGTATTTTATACTCAGCAGATACGATATTTGACAGATGTCACACAGAATTTTGATCATGAAGAATCCTGATTATAAAATATAAAATTTAAGCCGGGCGTGGTGGCGCATGCCTGTAGTCCCAGCGCTTGGGAGGCAGAGGCAGGCAGATCTCTGTGAGTTCAAGGCCAGCCTGGTCTACGTAGTGAGTTCCAGGACAGCTGGGGCTGCAGGGGAGACCCTGTCTCAAAAAGACAAATTAATTAATTAATTAATTAATTAAATAAAAATTTGGTAGGACATGGTGGTTTATGCCTTTAATCCAAGCACTTGGGATTAAATCCCAGAACAGGCAGATGGATTGCTGTAAAATCCAGGCCAGCCTGGTCTACATAGCAAGTTCCAGGTCAGCTGGGGCTACAGGAATACCTTTATCAAAAAATGAGCAAAAAAATTACATAAATATTTAAAATATATTTTTTTTTAATTTTATGTGTATGAGTGTATTGCCTGCATGTAAGTGAGTGCACCTATGTTGTGCAATGCCTCAGAGGTCAGAAGAGGGCGTTGGATTCCCCTGGAACTGGAGTTAAGGATGGTTTGCAGCCACCCTGTGGGTGCTGGGAATTGAACCCCGGTCCCAGTGTTCTTAACCGCTGATCCATCTCTCCAGCCCCTACATAAATATTTAAATAAATAAATAAATAATGTTTATATATACACACACATAAATAATTTTAATAGTTGTAAGTGAAAAAGGATGGAAAATATATGTTATAGATTTTAAAAATTATTCTAGAATTAGCCAGGCTTGGTGGCACATGCCTTTAATCCCAGCACTTGGGAGGCAGAGGCAGTCCTATCTCTGGGAGTTCAAGGCCAGCCTGGTTTACATAGTGAGTTCCAGGACAGCTGGGGCTACAGGGAGACCCTGTCTCAAAAAGACAAAAATAAAATAAAATAAAAATTCTGGAGTTAACTTTTGATTTTTGTAGATGCTATCTTACTCTATTAGTGATTCATCTTTCCATCAAAAATGAGAGTCAGAGAGATGGATTGTAAGTAAAGTGCTTGCTATACAAGCGTGAAGACTTGAGTTCAAATTCCCAGCACGCATATAAAAACTAGGTGTAGGTCAGGTGTGGTGGCGCACATCTTTGATCCCAGCACTTGGGAGGCAGAGGCAGGCCTGTCTCTATGAGTTCAAGGCCAGCTGGGGCTATAGGGAGACCTTGTCTCAAAAAGACCCCCCAAAAAAGGTGAAGAGTGGTAAAGTGTAGCACCTACACATGTGCAAACACATGTACAACATACATATACCACGTACACACACTGCACACACAAATAATAATAATAAAAGTTGTAGAAATGAAATCACGGTCTGGTATGTTGTAGGCAGTCAAGCTGTACTTGTGGTTGCTCTTACTGGAGGGTACACAGAGGAGAGGCTGGAGGGAATCAAAATGTCCTTCCAGATAACACCACCTGTGCAAGTACGAAATAGGAAATTCCTACAGGCTGAAGGACTGATAAAAGGGTTACAAAGGAGTCAGAGCCTGAACTGAGTCTTCAAGGAGATGTAGGGCTCAACTAAGTAGATGGGAAGAGTCCAGGGCAGAAGAAATCAAGCCAAGCAGAGTGACTTTTTTGAAGAAAAGGGAAAAGCTGGGATATGAAGTGGTAAATTTAGGGCACAGGTCATTAAAGAGAGTTCTGAAAATAAGACTGTTTAGATTTTATCTTACAGGCAACGAGCAGGCACTAAAGGTTTTCTCAACAGGAAGTACATACCTAGAGCAGCAGTAGAGAGCTTTCTTTCTTTCTTTCTTTCTTTTTTTTCCTGGTCTTGAGACAGGGCTTCCTTGTAGCCCCAGCTGGCCTGGAACTCAGTATGTAGACCAGGCTGGCCTTGAACTCACAGAGATCCACCTGCCTCTGCCTCAGCCCCTAAAATACTTAAAAAAAAAAAAGTTTTATTTACTATTTTTATCTTATGTGTATGAGTGTATTGCCTGCATGTATGTGAGTGTGCCCATGTCATAAAATGTCGCGGAGGTCAGAAGAGTGCTTTGGATTCCCCTGGAACTGGAGTTAAGAATGGTTTGTAGCCACCATGTGGGTGCTGGGAATTGAACCTGGGTCCTCCGCAAGAGCAGTCAGTGCTCTTAACCGCGTCACTTTAATACAAAAGTGTAAACACATCCTTACTTAATGTCAAGTTGATACATATTTTCTCCTTCCTCCCTCTTTCCTTATCCACAAGCAGACTAATATTTCTTTTAAAAAATATTTTAGTTATTTTTATTTTATGTGTGTGAATGTATTGCCTGCATGTGTGTAAGTGCACCCATGCACCAGTGTCATGCAATGCCCATGGAGGTCAGAAGAGGGTGTCAGATCCCTAGAACTGGAGTTAGGATTGTTTGTAGCTACCACGTGGGTGCTGGGAATCGAACCCGGGTCCTCTGCAAGAACAGTCAGTGCTCTTAATTGCTGAGCCATCTCTACAGCCCAATATATTATTTTTAATTTTATTTTTGTTTTAAGTGAGTGTTTTGCTTATGTGTGTAAGTGCAGCATGTGTGTGCAGTGCCTATGGAAGGCAGAAGAAGGTGTCTGATCCCCTGGAACTGGAGACAGATGCTTTGTTAGCCATTGTGTGAGTGCTGGGAACTGAACCTTGATCCTCTTTAAGAACAGCTATTGCTCTTAACCACTGAGCCATCACTCCAGCCCCCATAATTTGATTTTTAACTCACATTCATTTTTTTTTTTGTTTATATGTATGACTCTTTAAATTTTTAAAATTTTTAAAATTTAAATTTAGGTATATGTGTATTTGTCTTTGTGAGTACATGCTCTTTGTGTGTGTGTGTGTGTGTGTGTGTGTGTGTGTGTGTGAGAGAGAGAGAGAGAGAGAGAGAATATGGTGTGTGTGCACATGTGCCTGGGAGGTCAGAAAAGAGCATCAGATCACCTGGAGCTGGAGTTACAGGCAGTTGTGAGTCACTTTTGTGGGTGTTAGGAGCTGGAATTGGGCCCTCTGGAAAAGCAGCAAGTGCACTTAACCACTGAGCCAGCTTTCTAGCCTCATATGGATGTAAAATGAAAAAGGAGTTCTATTTTGAGGTTCTTTTTTTGTTTACCCCCCCCCCTATTTTTTTGGAAACAGATTTCTGTTGTATGACAGAGCCCTGCTGCAAAGCTGAGATTGACCTTGAACTCATGATCTTTCTGCTTTAGCCTCTTGATGGCTGTAATTTCAGGCTATGTGCCACCACACCTTGACCTTCCTTATATTTTGAGCTTTTGGTGGGAAGGGATAAGTGTTGGTTATCATTGCTGCCTAAAAATTTATCCCCAAATTTAGCAGCTTAAAACAATATTTCTTATCTGAGTTCTTGAGGTTGAGGAATTTGGGAGTATTTTGTCAGGGAAGTTCTGGTTTAGGGCGTCTCAATAGAGTTGCCATCTTCTGTCAGCCAGGGCTTTGGTCACCTGAAGGCTTGACTAGGGATCTGCTTCTAAGCTTGCTCAAGTAGCTGTCAGCAGAGGCCTCAGGTTTCTAGTATACGAGCCTCTCCATGGAACTGTTCAGACTTGTCAGCTGGTTATCATAGAACAGAGGGGGGAGGGGGAGAAATGGGGGGAGAGAGGGGGAGGAGACAGGGAGGGGGAAGGGAGACAGACAGATAGAGACAGAGAGACAAGCCAGAGTATTTTTTACAGTCTAATCTCTGGATGGGTTTATCTCTTCCTTGTTTTTTTTTTTTTTTCATGGTCATCACACAGCAATTGGCACAGGTTGTAAGTACCAGGAAGTGAGGATCATTGGGGGTCACAGTAGCAGTGAACTGCCTCAGATCATTTATTAATCTCTCACATATCCAGAGATGTTCAGTATTAATTGTAGTTCATTCATTGTTTTTGTATTGGATCTAAATAGACCAAAGAAACAGGCCAAACTGTTGTGGGATTTTCAACTCTCTCAAGGTGCTATTTTTATTTGCATTGCTCTCAACAGCCCAGAGCAGTGGGTTCCTGGACCTCTGAGGAGGAGGGCAAATCCAGGAAACCAGTGCAGGGACTCACTGAATTAAAAAATAGACTTGTTTGTGAGTATATGGCAGTGAAGGACACTGATTATTAAAGGGCGTTCAGAACTAGCGAGGTGGCTCAGTGGGTAAGGGACATTACCACCAAGCCTGACGATCTGAGTTCATTTTCCAGGGAGGAGGAGAGAATCAGTTCCTACAAGTTGTCTTTTGACTTTCACATGCCCACTGTGGCACATGTATGCCCTT